ACTAGATCCTGGGTCTCCAGGATCACGCCCTGGGCTGAAGGCGGCGCTAAACCGCTAAGCCACTGGGGCTGCCGTCAAATAAATACAATCTTAAAAAAAAAGAACCCAAGGTGTGGAAGGTTCTCTAATGCCCCCCAGGTTATGCAGATTAGAATCACAGTGGGACTAGAACCATCCTCTTGTTTGTTTCATGTTCTTCCCACTCCCATGTACCCTGGGTGTGCTAGAGCAAGAGGCTGGTGGCTGCCTGTAGAACAATATAAGCTTTATTTGAAGACCCATTTCATGGACTTTTGTCATTCTGATTACAAGTTCTTTTTTTTTTTTTTTTTTAAGATTTTATTTATTCATGAGGGACACAGAGAGAGGCAGAGACACAGAGTTCCAGGCTTCTCACAGGGAGCCCGATATGGGACTTGATCCCGGACCCTAGGATCATGCCCTCAGCTAAAGGCAGACACTCAACCGCTGAGCCACCCAGGTGTCACTACAAGTTCTACTCTAAGGGATTTCATTGGGCTTAGTGATCCTGGCTTTCTTAAGAAAACAGTTTCCACAGCAGAATGAACGTTCTTTATAGTGGTCACCTTGACAGGATATAAATTCATTCAATGACTGATACTGTACAAAGCACTTTTTTTTTTTTTTTTTTTTTTTTTAAGATTTTGTTTGTTCATGAGAGACACAGAGAGAGAGAAGCAGAGAGAGACACAGGCAGAGGGAGAAGCAGGCTCCATGCAGGGCCTGGGCCGAAGGCAGGTGCTAAACCACTGAGCCACCCAGGGATCTCCCCATGTACAAAGCATTTTGGAAAAGCCACTTATCTTGGAGCCTGTGGTCTACAGTCTTGGATCTCTTCAACAATGGCAAATATTCATATTTTAAAGATTAATTTGCTTTTAAGAACTAAACTAAATCATTTGGAACTAAAACTAAGTAGTCCAAGATAGTAGAGCTAGAAATAGTTTTGCTTAATTAAAAGTAAATACTGAGCAACTAAACTACCTTGCATTGCTTAAAAACTAACTTTGAAGACCACTCCAAGAAAGACATTCCAGGGAACCCTGGGTGGCGCAGCGGTTTAGCGCCTGCCTTTGGCCCAGGGCGCAATCCTGGAGCCCTGGGATTGAATCCCACGTCGGGCTCCCGGTGCATGGAGCCTGCTTCTCCTTCTGCCTGTGTCTCTGCCTCCCTCCCTCCCTCTCTCTCTCTCTCTGTGACTATCATAAATAAAAATTAAAAAAAAAATAAAGTTAAAAAAAAGAAAGACATTCCAAACATGTTCTGAGCAGTTACAGCATTGTTGGGATTAAGGAGAAGTCTCTCTCCTAAGGTATAAATCAAAGTCCAGAGTCTTAGTGTCCAAGGTATAAATTCTGTTATTTATTTTACTGTATTTATTCACTGACTGCCTTATACTTGCCAAGGTCTTTGTTAGGTACTAGGGATTAATGAAATAACACTACCCACTCTTGAAGGCTAGTAGGAGTTGAGCATCTAAATATACAAGTGCTGGGATCCCTGGGTGGCGCAGTGGTTTGGCGCCTGCCTTTGGCCCGGGGCGTGATCCTGGAGACTCGGGATCGAATCCCATGTCGGGCTTCCGGTGCATGGAGCCTGCTTCTCCCTCTGCCTGTGTCTCTGCCTCTCTCTCTCTCTCTGTGACTATCATAAATAAATAAAAAATTAAAAAAAATCTTAAAAAAAATAAATAAATATACAAGTGCTGTGAAGTTTTGTATGTACTGTCATGAAACTATATATGGGGAAAGAGGGATCATTTTGTAGGTTCTGGGAGTGGAGAAATCAGTTGAAAGCCTTTATAAAAGACAAGATGCTTCAGTGGAAGCTTGAAAAGAAAGCTTAGGTGCTTCCAAGCAGCTAGGACATTTCAGAGAGAGCACAAACAAAAGTATTGCGAGAACCAGCATTAACATATTGGCAACTGTTAGTAGTTCGTGGTTGGTGGGTGAGCCGCAGGGAGGAGCAAGAGATGAGGCTGGAGAGTCAGGCAGGACACCATATTATGAAGCACCTTGTACTTTATAGCAAGAAATTTGTTCTTCTATTGTAGGTAGCATAGAGAGCCACTAAAGAATTTTAAGTTAGGAAGTTATGTGATCCAATGTGTCTTAGACAAATAATTCTGAGTATGTATAGAAGATGGGTTGGAGGAATGAAATGAGAAGCTGAAAGACTATTACAGGGCTAGTAGACTGGTACAGGCAATCAGTGGTGTAGCCTGTGTATGGTGGTGAAGAGAGAGAGAAAGCAGAATGGAGGGTTGAGGGAGGCAACATACACATGTGAATGTAACAAATAAGAGTTTGATTTTACCATTTTATTTTACTTTTTTATCATGATAAATATACTCTTTAACCCCCATCCCCTATTTCTCCCATCCCCCTACCGACCTCCCCTCCAGTAACCAACCATTAGTTTGTTCTCTATAGTTAAGAGTCTCTCTCTCTTTTCCTTTGCTCATTTGTTTTTTAAATTATGCACAAGTGAAATCATATGGTATTTTTCTTTCTCTGACTGACTTTGTTTAGCACTCTACTCTCTGACTCCATCCATGTTGTTGTAAATGGCAAGATTTCATTCTTTTTGTAATGGCTGGATAATATGCCATTGGTATTGGGGAGGGTGCTGTGCGTATATATCACCACGTCTTTATCCATTTACCTATCAGTTAATACTTGGACTGCTTCTGTGGTTTGGCTGTTGTAAATGATACAGCAGTTTTGATTTTGTTTTTTAATTGATTTGATTGTATACTTTATTTAGAAAAGCCCAAGAGATACCATTTTGTAGTTAGGATTAACTGCCAAATTTGTGATAAATTTTATGAGAATCAGAAAGTGCTTAAGGAATGACTTTCTAGAATATGTTAGTTTTGAATGATGTGCACAATATAGTACATGTAACTCAGTCTGAGGATTTGAAATGTTGACAGTGTTTTGGAATCAGGAAGGAAAAAATCCTCAGAGTAGTTGAATGTGTGAGAATTATGGGATATAGAAAAATTAGTTGCTTCTCTTAATCTACTCTCAAAGAGGTATGAGAGTTAATAGCTGTTCTCAGATTTTTATTTTCTATGCTTAAGTTAATTACAGATATTTTAAAAACAAAAAAAATAATATTCCCTATTTCAGCAACTTGTCCCTCTCCCTTCAATATTATGAACACTGTAATATGTCAGTAATAAAGATTTATTTAATTCTTTTTCATGGCCGTATAATATTCTTTTGTGTGGCTGCACCACAATTTAAAAAAGGATTTAACTGATCCTTGATAAATAATTATTTGCAATTTTTTATTCTTATAAAAATATTTTAAAATAATACCTAAAAACAAACACTAAACTAGAGATCAAATGCTGGATGTAGAATATTGGGTGAAAGTATGACTACCTAAAAATTTAAAAACTAATTCCCAAAGGTTGTACTAATTTATGACCTATACTCTTTTCCAGCTGTATGTGAGTGCCTGTTCTCTTCCTACATGCCAACACTGGTATTAATCAGTCTTTAAAATGTTACTCAGTCTTCTAGGTGAAGAATAACCTGATTTAATTTATATTTTTAAACATTATTGAGATCGAGTCTCATGCATCTTTGTGAACTGCTTGTTTTTGTTTTTTGTTTGGCAGAGGAAAATTTGACTAACTTGCCCAATACTTTTTCCCATTTGCCTTTTGAGGGTGATTTTTAAAAATATTTTATTTATTTATTTATTTGTTTTCTTTTAAAGGTTTTATTTATTTATTCATTGGAGACAGAGCGAGAGAGGCACAGACACAGGCAGAGGGAGAAGCAGGCTCCATGCAGGGAGCCTGATGTGGGACTCGATCCCGGGTCTCCAGGATCAGGCCCTGGGCTGAAGGCGGCGCTAAACCGCTGAGCCATCCGGGCTGCCCTTAATATTTTATTTTTATTTTTAAAGTATGTATGTATGTATGTATTCATTTATTTATTTATTTAAAATAAATTTTTATTTTTAAGGCATTTATTTATTTATTTATTTATTTATTTATTTATTTATTTATGAGATACACACAGAGAAGCAGAGACACAGGCAGAGGGAGAAGCAGGCTCCATGCAGGGAGCCCGATGTGGACTTGATCCCGGGTCTCCAGGACCACACCCTGGGCTGAAGGCAGCGCTAAACTGCTGAGCCACCTGGGCTGCCCAATATTTTATTTATTTATTTATTTTTAATTTTTTTTTTCCAATATTTTACTTTTAAGTAATCTCTATACCTACCATGGGGTTCAGACTGGCAACCGTGAGATCAAGAGTCACATGCTCCACTGACTGAGCCAGTCAGGCACCCCAAGGGTGATGTGTTTGAACATACATTTTCATTGTAGAGTTGTATGAGGAATAGGTTTAAAAAAATGGATGATACCTACTCTGATTCTGGATACATTTGGAAGTCTTTTTTTATTTTTGTATTTGAGAGATTATAGAAAGGGAAAGAAGCAATACAATTTTATTTTCTTCTCCTTCTGTTTTAGTTTTTCATTTCTGGTGAGTGTTTTTTCTAAGTACCAAAAAAGATTGTGATGAATCCTATTTTTACTGAATATAGTACTCCAGCCATGCCCTTATTATTTGCTACTCTTTTGTATGATAATCTACCTCTGGAATGCTACTGTGTTACAGGGTGCCTTTGTCTTACTTGGGTAAACAGCAACATACTAAATTGCTAGCCTTTTTTTTTTTTATTCCTGGTATATGAATTCCCCCTTAAGAAGAGGGATTTGATCTTTTTCTTTTTTATTTTTTTTTAAGATTTTATTTATTTGACAGAGCACAAGCAGGGGTATTGACAGGCAGAGGCAGAGGGGTATCATGACCCAAGCTGAACCACACAGAGGGGTATCATGACACTCAACCAGCTGAGCCACACAGGTGCCCTGAGAGGGATTTGATCTTACTACACAGCCTAATAGAGATTGTTCTGTGATGTCTAACTGAATTGCTTACTCCTTGCAGGGTGTTCCTGAAAAGAAAGTACTTCCCATCACTGTTCCCAAGTCACCAGCCTTTGCGTTGAAGAACAGAATCCGAATGCCCACCAAAGAAGATGAGGTGATTCCCTGGGATAGAGGGAATTTTATTCCTTTTACTTCATCAATTTAAACATTCTTCTTTTTTTTTTTTTTTTTAACATTCTTCTATCTTAAGCTTAATGGAAGTCAAGGCAGTCACTCTTATCTGGAGTTGTCTTTAACAGTGGGTATGAACACTTGATCATCTTTTTTGCTCCCCCAAGAGCAAAGTAGTTGGTAAGGATATGAATCTTCTGGCTTTCAGTAGTGACTGGTTACAACTTATTAGAGGCTTGTCCATTTCTATAGTATTGAAAATCAGCCTGTCATAACTTGGATCAAAAGTTGCCAAGCCCTGTATTTTATTTTTCCTGAGCTATTGTCACCATTTAGTAGGGGACTTTTAAAATTCATACTAAGAATGAATGAATGAAAATAAATAATAAATAAAATTCATACTAAGCAGTTATATCTGCCTTGTTTGATCTCCATTAACCCAAGGGTTGCTAAGGTTACTGGGTGGTGATAGTTCATGAAATTGGAATACATAAACTGTCATTGATCAGGCTAGTTTCTTATTACAGCTCCCATTTTATCTATAAATATCCAGAGTTAGGGTAATTTTATAGCAGATCTCAAGCCTTTTTATAGGTTCATTTGAAACTAAAACACACGGTAATCTTATGTTACCAGCTTGAACCCAAACAGCTTACTTGGTCCTATTCTGGGTTTGGCAACCATTAACTCCCAGTCACATGTTTTAGTGGAGTCTGGAGGCTGGGTCAAAGAAGAGGCCAAGGTATATGCTTAGTTAGTACCTCTCTTCTGTTCTTCATTTTGTTCACACTGTTTGATCTCATTTCGTTTTTACAACTCCCTGTGATAAACTTTAGACCCTTTAAGAGTAATTGTGTTAGTCCTTTATCAAATGCTTTCACACTGGTCTCCCCCCTATGAAGTAGTAGATGACTTAGGTATTATCTCTCTTTGGTAGAAAAGGAAGCAAAGACACCTATGGAGGTTGAGTGACTTGCCTTAACGATTTCTTTAAAATACCGTCTTTTTACTCCACATTCTGAGGAGGTAAGAGAGAACTTGTGTCTAAACTACAGTTTTTCCCTTAGGAAGAGGAGGAACCGGTAGTGATAAGAGCTCAACCTGTGCCACATTATGGGGTACCTTTTAAGCCCCAAATCCCAGAGGCAAGAACTGTGGAAATATGTCCTTTTTCTTTTGATTCTCGAGACAAAGAACGTCAGTTACAGAAGGAGAAGAAAATAAAAGAACTGCAGAAAGGAGAGGTAGGTGTTTCCATTTCTGCAAGTAGCATAATACGGTTCTTTGATCTATCACAGATAATCTTTTATGTTGCACTTATAGCTATAAAATCACTGACTTCCTTTGATCCCTCTAAGAACCTTATGAAGTATAAATAGGGGAAGTTTTTAATAACCCTTCTGGCACAAGATTAAGCGACTTGCCCATGATTGTGTTGCCAGTTATTGGCAATATTGGGAGGATAACCTAGATTTCCTTTTGAGCCCCTTACTCTTTCTGCTGTACATACCATGCTGCTTTGAAAACTGGCCTTTTCTATATTTCTGATTCATCCAGATATTCTGGAGCAGTTCTTACTTTCTGGCTGGAGAAACCTTTGGGTCTTAAGGCTTATGTCTTCGTTTCTATTAGGTGCCCAAGTTTAAGGCGCTTCCTTTGCCTCATTTTGACACCATTAACCTGCCAGAGAAGAAGGTGAAGAACGTAACTCAGATTGAGCCTTTCTGCTTGGAGACTGACAGAAGAGGTGCTCTGAAGGCACAGACATGGAAGCATCAGGTGGGGAACAGGGAGAGCAGCTGAAATGTTCATTGCTTCATTGTTGGTGTGTTAGAATAGGTAGACCCACTACCCTGAAGCTCATCTGAGAACTAACATACTGAATTACTTCAGGAGCTCTCACTCTAAATCAAGAATCAGACTTTCTCTATAAAAGACCAGATAATAGGGTGCCTGGGTGGCTCAGTTGTTTAAGCATCCAATTCTTGATTTCAGCTTAGGTCATGGTCTCAGAATTCTGGGATTGAGCCCCATGGTAGGGCTCCCTGCTCAGCAGGGAGTCTGCTTGTCTCCCCCTTCCCTTTGCCTCTCCCCTGCTTGCACGCACACTCTCTCTCTCATGAATAAATCTTTAAATAATAAAAAACAAAAGACCAGATGGCAAATATTTTAGATTAGGTAAATATTTTAGATGGTAAATATTTTAGGTTACATATAGTCTGTCACATATTCTGGATGTGTGTGTGTGTGTGTGTGTGTGTGTGTGTTTAAACCCTTTGAAAATGTGAAAATCAGTCTTAGCTCAAGGGCTATACAAAAAGGGATTACAAGCTATGTTTGGCCTACAGGCTAAAGTTTGCTGACCTCTTCTCCCAGTGATCATCTGGGGAATGTGAAAACCGACAGGCATTTTTTGCATCAAGAGTTTAAGGTCTTATCTATTCCACTATTAGATTTGTCCATTATGTGTTCAGCCCTTTTTGTTGGTGTTTTGATAAGACACAGTATGGTGAGAATAGATCCTCAGTATAGTATGCTGTTTTCTTAACATAGTGTGGTGTTTGCTCTTTGTAAATGATAGGTGATTAAGAACAATTAATTGGTTGTTGGCTGGTATAATTAGGATCTAATTCTTCCCTATTTGGAAAAAAAATTCCCCTGAACCCCTAAGTTTGTCCATGTTTTTGTAGCATCACTTATCATGGACTCTGTCCAAAAGGAGTTCTGGGCTAATGTTTCTAGGAAATCAAGTGATATGACTACATGACTGCACATAGGCTCCCTTGATGGTGGTATTCCCTAGGAAAACTTAGGTCTGTTGTTTTGGAAGTAGTAGTGAATCAATCTTTCCAGGACCATGACACAAAATGTCTGTGTGGGATATTTCCTATAAAAAAAATTTTTTTAAGTTTTTAAACATACATAAACGTAGAGAGGATAGCGTAATGATCCTCCATGAACCTGTCAGTTGGTTCTATAATGAACAAAACATGGATAATCTTATTTCATCCGTATTTCTACCTACTTAACTCTATACTGGATATTTCTACAAAGGATTACTTTGAAGTAAATCTAGATATCACCTCATTTCATCCAAAAACAGCAAGGAAATATATGTATCTTTATATCTTCAGTATGTATCTTTAAAAATGTAAGTATAGGGGATCCCTGGGTGGCTCAGCAGTTTAGCGCCTGCCTTCGGCCCAGGTTGTGATCCTGGAGTCTCAGGATCGAGTCCCACATCAGGCTCCCTGCATGGAGCCTGCTTTTCCCTCTGCCTGTGTCTCTGCCTCTCTCTCTCTCTCTCTCTCTCTCTCTCTCTCTCTCTCTCTCTCTCATGAATAGATGGGTGGAATCTTTAAAAATAAATAAATAAACAAACAAACAAATAAATAAATAGATATAAAAACCCCATAATACTATCACACATAAAAAGATTAATAGTAATCCCTTAGTAGTGACAAATAGGGTTCTTAAATCCTCAAATCTCTAATAATTTTTTTAGACAGTTGAATTGTTCAAATCAGGATCCAAATAAGGCCCACATATTGCATTTGTTTGATAAATCTCTAAATCCCTTTTTCTCTATAGGCTTCTCTATTTACATATTACTTGTGGGATAGACTGGCTTGTTTGTCCTATAAATTTTCCACAATCCTGACTTTGATCATTGTAGTCTCATGGTGTTATTTAATGTGTTCCTGTACCTTCTGTATTTCCTATAAATGAGTAGTTAGATCTAGAGACTTGATAAAATTCTGGTTAGATTTGGGGCACCTGGGTGGCTCAATCGGCTAATTGTCTGCCTTACCTTAGGTCATTATCTCAGGGTCCTGAAATTGAGCCCTGAGTCAGGCTCCTTGCTCAGCGGGGAGTCTGCTTCTCTCTCTCTCCTGTCTCTCCGCCCTCCCCCCTCACTTATGCTCTCTCACTTTCTCTCAAATAAATAAATAAAATCTTGTTTTTTTTTTAAAGATTTTATTTATTCATTCATGATAGACATAGAGAGAGAGAGGCAGAGACACAGGCAGAGGGAGAAGCAGGCTCCACGCTGGGAGCCCGATGCGGGACTCAATCCCGGGACTCCAGGATCGCTCCCTGGACCAAAGGCAGGCGCCAAACTGCTGAGCCACCCAGGGATCCCCTAAATAAATAAAACCTTAAAAAAAAAATTCTGGTTAGATTCTTTTGGGGTTTAGGAGAGAGAGAATATTTTATAGATGATCCCATCCAAGAGTATATAATGTCCACATGTTTACTTTTGTGATGTTCAAATAGACTTTAAAAGTACCTTAAAGATATTTTCTAGTTTTCAGTGGATTCAGAGGTTGTCAGTGTGATCTACTCAGTGTAAAGGAGATTTTTTTTATTTTTTTTTTATTTTTTTTTTTTTATGATAGTCACAGAGAGAGAAGGAGAGATAGGCAGAGGGAGAAGCAGGCTCCATGCACCGGGAGCCCGATGTGGGATTCGATCCCGGGTCTCCAGGATCGTGCCCTGGGCCAAAGGCAGGTGCCAAACCGCTGTGCCACCCAGGGATCCCTGTAAAGGAGATTTTAACTGGGGTTTAGATGAAGTCATTTAGGGATCCCTGGGTGGTGCAGCGGTTTGGCGCCTGCCTTTGGCCCAGGGCGCAATCCTGGAGACCCGGGATCAAATCCCACATCGGGCTCCTGGTGCATGGAGCCTGCTTCTCCCTCTGCCTGTGTCTCTGCCTCTCTCTCTCTCTCTGTGACTTTCATAAATAAATAAAAATAAAAAAAAAGACTTTGATCAGTTTAAAAAAAAATAGATGAAGTCATTTAGAAACATTAGTCTTGAGCTACTGAGGCAGCATGGAGAGTTATGCTGTTGCTTATCTTTTTTTTTTAAGATTTTTATTTATTTGAGAGAGGGAGTGAGAGTGAACATGAGGACATGAGGAAGAACAGAGGGAAAAGCAGACTCCCCACTGAGTGGGGAACCTGATGTGGGGCTTGATCCCAGGACTCCAGGATCATGGTCTGAGCCAAAGGCAGACACTTAACCAACTGAGCCACCCAGGTGCCCCAATGCTGTTGCTTATCTAACAGACTTTGTTTCTATTAGCTGGAGGAAGAACTGAAACAGCAGAAAGAAGCGGCTTGCTTCAAGGCTCGTCCAAACACTGTCATCTCCCAGGAGCCCTTTGTTCCCAAGAAAGAGAAGAAATCCGTTGCTGGTAGTGTTATATGTTCTCTTGGGGAATCAGGGCAGAATTGTCAGACTTCCCAGGGGGTATGCTTGGACTCAGTTATGACAGTATCAGCTGTGTCAACCAGAAGCATTTACCTTTAGAGGCTCTAGTTGTTCTCTTCTTAGACGAGGTTTTTTGTCTTTGTTGAACCCAGCAGCTGTGTTGAGTTTGCCACATGTGTTGGGTCCAAAACAAGAGCCTGGGCAAAGGCAGCTGACATTTCAACAGCAGTTATGGGCCTTACTTACCCAAAGAGTAGTAAGTGTGGGAGGAAGAGTCAGGACTTCTTTCTGGAGTTCATCATGTAACATGGCTTAGATATAAACGTTTGATTCCTTAAGCACTGGGTAGGATGTCAGAAAATTTAATTCTCCTCCCTACATCTATCTCAGAATTACTATGTAGTTTTGAGCAAGCTGTTTCATCTGTGTGGGTCTTTGCTTTTCTCCTAATTAGATGGTTTCCAGGACCTTCCAACTGTTAAAATTCTAGGACTTTTTGTATGTGGTATACTCCACCTTTCTGCTAACAGGGCTTCCCTAGAGTTTAACCTTTTTGTTGCTGTATCAAGGGGGATAGGTTTATGCAAATCCTGCTTGTGCACCAATATTCTCTCTGTTTCTGTACTCAGAGGGCCTTTCTGGTTCTCTAGTTCAGGAACCTTTTCAGCTGGCCACCGAGAAGAGAGCCAAGGAGCGACAGGAACTGGAAAAGAGAATGGCTGAGGTAGAAGCTCAGAAAGTCCAGCAGTTGGAGGAGGCCAGGCACCAAGAGGAAGAGCAGAAGAGGGAGGAGCTGGCCAGGCTACGGAAAGAACTGGTAACTGGGCAGCATGAGCATTCACTAACCCATGGTTGTCTTCTTTTTGTGTTATCTGTACCTTACCTTGTTCCAGAAAGGATCTAAGGTGGCCTACAAGGACATATTAAAGATGAGTGAAAGCAGAAAATTACACAAACCAAGAATAGTAACAAAGTTGTGATGTGAACAGCATTAAAACTGTGCACATTGTGATCCATGTATCCGCTAAGTTTGAGCCATAATTTTGGCTTTTTAGGAACCAACCTGTTGGTTACAAAACTTTCAGTGTTCCTGAAATATAAATCAGCTAGTTTAAAAAAAATTATTATTATTATTTTTTTAATTTTTATTTATTTATGAAAGTCACAGATAGAGAGAAAGAGAGAGAGAGAGGCAGAGACACAGGCAGAGGGAGAAGCAGGCTCCATGCACCGGGAGCCCGATGTGGGATTCGATCCCGGGTCTCCAGGATCGCGCCCTGGGCCAAAGGCAGGCGCCAAACCGCTGCACCACCCAGGGATCCCAAAAAACATTTATTCTTGATACTGAATTCAGACAGAATTTCTTCCAGGGGTCTTCATAAGAAGGATATCATGTGGCATAGCATGCACAGTGATGCATTCCTAGGACTTTTATATTTATCTAACTTATCTTTATTTATATTTTATTATTTCCTTTAGATTTACGAAAACCAATGTGATTTTATAACTTAGACAAGAATATGTAGTTAGAGAAGGACATGAGAATTATGTGGCAACTATATTTTCATTTTCCTCTTAATTGACTTAGATTCCTTTTGGTGATAGTGCATATTAGTCTATGTGACCTTCGATGCTTACACTTCAATGCATGATGATTTAGTTATTAAGTTATCCAGAAAAACTTAATTCACACTAAGGACTTTTTCATTAGGAGGGCAGCAAGCCACATTAACTGCATTAATGAGGGAAGAGTTTCAGATGGAACTTCATGTGATTGATAAAAGGATCATTATTATAAATACATAGGTTGTTGCAGTTTTGTCTAAAAAGGCCAGGCCAGGGATGCCTGGGTGGCTCAGTGGTTTGAGCATCTGCCTTTGGTTTGGGGCATGATCCCAGTCCTGGGATCGAGCCCTGCATCGGGCTCCCTGTGTGGAGCCTGCTTCTCCCTCGGCCTGTGTCTCTGCCTCTCTCTCTCTCTCTGTGTGTGTGTCTCTTCTGAACAAATGAATTTTTAAAAATAAATTAAGTAAACAAATAAAAAGCCTAGGCCAGCTGTTGATACTGCTGTTGGCAGAGATGACTATGGCCTCAAGGAAGGCTCTAGAGACAAATTATTAAAGGGACTAGCTTCTTGGCAAAATCCAAGCTGCCATTTGCTGATTAGGTGAAAAAAATAATATAGTTCCTGCTCTAGATATGTTCACAAAACCAGCCTTTTTTCCAGCCTGAAGTTCTTTGATTTTTCTTCAACACTTGGTACTGCCTCTTGTGTTTATCCCCATCATAGAGGTGCTACTTACAGTGATTCTCAGTATAGGCTTTGCTAAAGTACAGTTTAGGCAATGCTAGTTAGCTGTCATCTAACCTGACTTAATTCAGGATTGATTTTAGACTGCCCAGAAGGATGGATGGCCTTCTTCCAGCAACTCTTCCTGGTTATTGGGGGGGTTTTTTGTCGTTGTTTTTTGTTTGTTTTGTCCATGGTTTTGGTGAATATTAAGACTCAATAAGCTTAAGATGGTCCCCTGACAGATTCATTTTTTTGGGTTGTTGTTGATTTACATATAGTGTATTATTAGTTTCAGAGGTAGAGTTTAGTGATTCATCAGTCTTATATAATACCCAGTACTCATTACATCACATGCCCTCCTTAATATTAACCTATCCCCCCACCCCCTCCTCTGGCAGATTCTTAATATATCTCTTTTCTGTAATAAACAATCAAGTTGGAGTTAGGCTTAATGTTCTTTAATGCAAGTTGAGGGATCCCGCAAGATCTGAATAGAAACCTACTTGGCTCCAAAGTTCGTGTGTTTTTCCATTATGCTGTGTTGCCTCGCCTCCTCTACCACCCCCACCTTTGGATTAGTGACTTGGATCTGTAAGACTATATAAGCATTTTCTCAAGAAGAAAAAGATTAAAACAACTATATGCATAGTTCTCATATCCTGATCAGTGGTAACTATCTTTCCTTACTCTGCAGGTACACAAGGCAAATCCAATACGCAAGTACCAGGGTGTGGAAGTAAAGTCAAGTGACCAGCCTCTGACTGTGCCTGTTTCTCCCAAGTTCTCCACTCGATTCCACTGCTAACCTCAGCTGTGAGCTACAGGCACCACCTGGGAAGAGGAGCTGCTCTTTTCATGAAACCAGGAGCCTTCTTTCCTTGTCACCAGGGCAATAGAGAGAACCCATTTCTCCAGACTTTACCTGCTCATGCACAGCAGCATACTTGACAAGTGTGGACTCCAGTCTTGTTGAGAATTGTTTTCCTACATTATTGAGACTAATAATGAGACTCATGCATATCTTGCTCTGATTCCATGTAGTTATTTCCTATGAACTCATATCAGTCAACCTTTAATGAGTCTTAACTCTGACTAGTATCAGCACAGTATACTTTCTTTTGCCTCTTTGCCCTCTCCCCCCCTTCTTTCTATTTTAATCAGAAAATAAAGATAGTTAAATACTAAGATAGAATTTAAGTCATGGCTTACCTGAGGAACAGTTAATATATCAGATTCTTTCCTCCTCTCTGCTCAAAATGAATTTTGAGTTAAGGAGCCTGTCTCTACAAAGGGTGGAAGCTTCATTAACCATGCAATCATGAGGAAGACCATGGACTGACAGGGAGCTTTGCAGCAGCCATCAGCAGACTTTGGGGCAGAGCTGCTGTTAAGGCACTGTCTTCCCTTGTCAGTGCTGATAATAACAGAATGCCATGCGATACACTTTTTAAGTCCTCCATAAACTGGAATGGAATAAACATGTTTGTCTTCCCCTCCCTGATTTTGTTACTTCATGTTTTTAGTTCTATCAGGCCCCTTGGGAGGTACATCTTATTGGGGTAAATGGGTACTTAGGAGGAAGGGTCCAGGAACTTTTTAAAGCAGAGGCTCTGTCCTTAGAGAAAAGTGCTTTGTAATGTTTTTCTATCCTTGCATATTTTGAACTCCTTCCCAGGAACCACTCTGAAAGGCAATCATGTGTTATACCTTCACACAGACATGTGCCTTCTTCCCTAAATGTGCTTTTTCTCAGCTGGTAAACTTCTTTACAAGACTAAAGTAAAATCTTTTTCATAAGTCCTTTCTTGACCACCTGACCTCTGCTGGGATGATCTCTTCCTTCTGTGTGCCTCCCAAATGTTTCTTCTATATGTCTCTAGTAGAACAATTATACCACGAATTATTTGTACTTGTTCAGAAACTGGTAGAGACCCAGATAGCTAAATTTTTTTTACTCCTTGAAAACAAAAGTTATGTTAATCATCTCTATTCTTTTGTAGCTGGCACAAAATTTGCTAGATCCATGTTAAATAGGGTATTTCTTTTAGACTTGACATCATCTACGAACTCTACTCTTAACTCATGCTCTACTCCTGTGCTAAGAGATATAAAAGCATCTATATCCTGCCCAGGCCAGTTCCAGTGACTGTAGAAGATAGTAAACCTATTTTATGTTCCTTTCATTTGTTCGTTCAGTGAGCATTATTAACAGGCCATTGTAGATTCAGTGATGGATACAAAGCAAGACATGATTTGCAGTTCCCTGAGCCTCCTGAAGACCCACAGACTGGTGCAAAATACAGTTCCTTTATTCATTTCCTAGAAGTCTAGTATACAGGTCTATACCTACTTATGTAAATCATTTAACAACTATTTATTTGATGCTACTATACCTACTTTGGAACTACTTACTTAGTCTCTGGGAATACAGCAATGAACAGAAATAGAAGAACTTGCTTTCACGGAGCTACCTTTTAGGAGGGAAGACAGAGCATAAGCCAGTAACTGTCCTCTCTTCTATCATGTGGTAAATGTTTCTCCTACTGCTTTGTGAAGAATAGAATGGAATGGGATGGAGGGCATGTAAGGTTGGAAACAGGAATGTATGAGCTAGTAGGAGCCTGGTCTGGGGTAGTAGCAGTGGAGGTGATGAGAAATGGTTGGGTTCTGAGTGTATCTTGAAGTTGTAACCCGCAAGACTTGCTGACATATTGGTTGTGGTGTGCAAGAAAGAGAGTAGTTAAGGAGGGTACCCAGATATCAGTCCTATGAGAAATCCAGTTCTATCCCAAGTCCTCCTCCGTTCTTGCAGATTCCTGGAGGGCCTTCATTGTTTCTGGTCACCTCTTGTTGTTGGGTTTTTTTCCTGTTCAATCCTTGAGCTCCTCTGTGTCTATCCTCTGTAGCCTTCCCTCCTCTCGTATTAGTTTTCTGACAGTCCACCGTCATTCTTATATGTCATTCATATACTTCTATCTATCAGGTGTTTTATATATTTTGCCCATTTTTTGTTTTTAGTCATTTCAGGTAGGAGAATAAATCCAGCCCTCAAATTGAGGTTTCTGGAAAGAGTATTACCAAGAATTATAGACCTAGGGGATCCTTCTGGATTACCCTCTCCACACAGACCCATGTTGGGATGGTAATATATGACAGTTTTGGAGAGGCAACAGAATGGGATTACATTACTTGAGAGCAAAGAGCTTAAAATTGAGATGCAGACATCCATTGCTTCCTGCTTCCCAGACTTCCTCAGTTTCCCAACAGCTGGCTGTTTCTCCTCAGTTCTGTCTGTCTCATACTGAGTTCTCTTTTGGGACCACCTCACATGACCCTTATTTCTAACACAGTCTACCATTTCTTCTGAAGCTCAAAATTTCCACTTTTATCTTGCAGAGGAAGTCAGGTTCTTTATCCCTTCAGGCTATATTCTGGCGGGAGCTTCTCTTTCAACACTCTGAGGTTGCTCTGAAATTTTCCTAAGCAGAGAACATGTCCTCTGATAGGAATTTACTTAATTTTACTGAGAAATCTGGCTGTCACACTTCGCTTGGCAATTTTGCAAAGCTCCTAGCTCATGCGCACATGCAGATGGTTAGAATTCTCACAATTTCTGGGAAAGACTCTTTGTTTTCAATGTTGTTTTGACTTGGTCATGGTTTCCCCTATTGCTAATAGGCTTGTGCTCTTTAACATATTTGTAAGATTACTGTCCACTCTTAATTTGGTTGGTCATTTTGCCCTTGTGTGATTGCTTTGTTGCCATCTTGACTGCTGTTTTATTCCTTGCTGGTTCTTTTGCACAGTTTTGTCCCTGGAGACTGGAGCTTGGGTGGTAGACAGGCTATAGTTGCAGTCGCTCCAGAGTTGAACAGGGATGAGACCTGTATACAAGGCATTATAATACAAGATAAGATGTGACTGAGTAATGTGAGACACAGAAAGTACTGGGGGAGCTCAGAGATTCTTTTGGGAGGTGAGATTGCAATTCTTAAAAATGTTTCTTTCTTTTAAGTAAAAATTGCCAAAGTAGTATAATATGTCTTTTGGAAACAATTAAAATAATACAGACCATATAGAATAAACCATGCAAGTCTCATTTCCCTACTCCGTTTCCCAGGAGTACCCCACTGATAACAGTTGCATATTCTTCCAGAATGTTTTTATGTATATAGACTTCTAGAGCATTTTTCTTTTTTTTTTTTTTGTAACAATAAGATTATAGTATTCTGCATTTGTTTTTAATTTGTTCTTTGAAATGTTATACATTCACATGGTTCAGAATTCACAAGATACAAAGGTAAATAAAGTTCACCTTTTCTTCCAACTGCTCAGTTCCCATCCTCAGAGTTGGTGCTGCCAGGTGTGCTCTTTTGCAGAGAGTTACCATATATGTATTTCTATCTCTCTCCTTTTATTTTTTACAAGTAGTATCATGCTTTACGCTCTGTACCTTGCTCTTTTCATATGTGTTCTGGATTGAACGATGCCATTCAGGTTTTACGTGGACATGTCCTGGCTTTCCCCTGACTGAAGTATAAAGAAAGCCTCTTAATGAGGACCTGATGACATGGAAGCAGACCTGTAGTGGGGTCAAGATCCTCTGCAGAACTCCTAGGCTAGTGACTTGAGGTTCTAAGGACTTGAGCACACGTCAGCAACACCTGGTCTTTTACCTCTTCTTGGCCTAGCTGAGCCTTGGGGGCTCATTGGCTTGAGTATCTGGTTAAATCTGTGTGGCCCCTTGGACAAATCTTGACATTACTTCCTTTGCAGTTCTTTCTGAATTTTATCTTCTGGGGAAGTTCCTCATTGCTGAGAGTAGCAGTTAAAAAAGCTGTTAACCACGTGGCTGGGCTCCTATTTCTGCACAGGCAGGCTGAGTTACAGCGTGGTGGTGTGGATCCAGGTAGGATTCAGTCAACATTCTGAGTCCTGAGCTGCCATCTGCCTTGCAGCCTGCTGGGATGCTCAGTTTAGACAACATATAAAGTTTCCTGGATACGGGACAAACCTAGGCCTATGGAAAGAGCAGGAAGGTTAAAGTGTGTGGTACTTTGAGTGGTGACGAAGGCGTAACCAGGGAGCTGACATGTTTGCATCAACGCCAAGAATTCCAGGACAATTTGTTATCCAGCTGAAGCCAGTATAGTTGCTACAAAAAAGAAGCCTGGGGACAAAACATACTTTTCCCTTGTTTCCTTTGTCTCCTTGCATACCCAGTCTGTTTTCTAGCACTGCAGTGAAGGATACTGACATTGAAAATGTCTCACAATATTTTGTTATTTTTGCTCTTGCAAGAGAATAAGAGACTGGGCTCAGGTCAAAGCAGGGCTCTTATGTGCTGAGGGTATCAGCTTCCTGAAACGGTTTTGGCAGATGCTGACATTTCACCCAGAGAAACCATAGTTGGAGGGGTAGGGAAAAAGGCTTAGAAAACTCTGGGTTTTATTGGGAAATATTTCACCAGACTAACCTTAACCTGAAGGTATCAATTACCCTCTCCCCTTCCCTTAAAATTTTATTAGCCAGAAAGGCATAAAAACCTGCCCTGTCTGATGTGCTGAGACCCATGTAGTTATGGAACTGGTATCCCAGAACATCCCAGGCAAGCATGTGAATGTGCTAAGAATTGTAGCCTACTGCTGTTGCTCAGCTTGTTTTGGCACCAAAGCTATTCCCAGGGCTTTTGTTCAGGAGCAGGGGTGGGAGATAGAGTTTTCAGCAGGTCAAGATACAAAATAGACTCTGTGGTCATAAACCGTAATATGAAAAACAGTTTGGGGCAGCTTTGTTCAAGCTGGCTTGGTGGTAAGCCGACTTAAAAAGTCTCAAGACCCGGACATGTTCCCACTCAGGAGCACGCGCGCGGACACACACACACACACACGCACACACAGTGTCCTAGGGATAATCTGCTAAGTGACTAGAAAGTGACTCAATTTGCTCTATGCAAAAATATCAAGTGGGATTTACAGCTTTTTTTTTCTCCAGTTTCTGAAGTAGGGTTTAGTATTAATTATATACCGTTCAGATAATACCTGGTAATAGGAAGAAAGAGGAAAAAAAATACATCAACCACCATGATCATCTTTGTATAATCTGTTTTTTTCATGTATGCAATTTTAGTCTGTTTCTCTATACTAAAGGATTTTTCTTTACACTAAAGAATTTTTCTTAGCATATTCACATACCTGCCTGGGATGTTTCTGGGATATATGTGCGCTTCTGGGATGTGTGTTGGGTATATATATCTCCTGTGTTTTTCACTTAGCAGTAGTAATTCAAATATATTTCCATATTAACTGCATACTTTGTAAATGTGAATTTTAATAGAAGCATACTGTTTCATTGTTTTGAGTTTGCTTCTCCCCACTGAAAATGCTTGTTTTGCAAACAATTTTTCTAGATTCTATTTATAGGACAGATTTGTTTGTGCCTCTAATGTATCATATCTGTCTCTAAATGAACTATTTCAAACCATTTTCAAGATTTGTA